TTTTATGTTTGTTACTCTTTTGTAACACCTCTAATCTTCTGGCGCTCATATGACCTTGCAGTTGCAAGCGCCTTAAAACCTCTACTAAAAAAAACTATAAACAAATTTTCATCCTGCACGAAATCCTACTTCCATCGATGAATGTTCTCCATGCATAGTGGTAGTTGCAATAGATTTCTAAGCTAAACGTAATCGAATCTATGTGGGAGTGGGATGAAAACAGGTACGAGGACGAAAACGGGTTCTCCGGAATTTGATTTACAATAAAATGATATACAGTGTATATTAAATTTTCACACCATTACGTTTAATACTTCATGAATGTATACATTTTATTTTTACTTATAATACCGTATGATAATTTGTTATCGTTTTATGTGAATTCGTTAGATACAATATCACTACATTTATCAGTCAATACATTTATAAAGTCAACACAAACAATCAACGCTCTATTGCTGGTCACTCGCCACTGTGTTCGTCTTGCGTTGTTTTTGAGCAAGGAACGACCATGTCTTGCTCAAAGCTATTCCAAAGTGACCACCCCCCTTAACTTATTGTTATAATATAATGGTACTCTTCTAGGATCATACCTATACCGTGGGTGGTTGGCTGGTGCTCTGGTGTGGTTTGCTCTTTCTTTCCTATCAAACATCTATCGTCCTGATCTCTCCTTTTTTATGTTTGTTACTCTTGTAATACCTCTAATCTTCGGCACTTATATGACCTTATTGTGTTGCAAGTGCCGTAAAACTCTTACTTAAACATAACTTTATGCATTGTTATAATAATATAATGGTAGGTCTACTCTCCTGGGATCAGACTTATTCCTTTATTTTAAATATTTGTTAAAAAACAACAACTCAAAAGCTTTCAACTTTTTTCTTCTTCGCATTCCCCTGCTAGATATCAGAGTGGTAGTTGACTTCTGGTTCTTCAACCTGCAGTGCAGTGCAACTGATTTTTTAAAATGTATGTACCGTTTTCCCTACTTTTTAGGGTCCCTTACCTTCAGGCAACCAAATTCCGATTTTGAAGATACACAATGGGATTTTATACTGACAATGACAAGAGTATTTTCGTGGGTGGCTTGAGGGTGCCAGTGGTAGTTCTGCTTCTTTACTTTCCGTCTGTTTTTTTCTGTGTCTGTTTTTTCTTTTTCCCAGCACTTAATGATCCTTATTGTGTCCCTATGTTTCTCTTTACTTAAACAAAACAAACCGACAAGAGTACTTTCAGTGGATGGTTGGTACGTGCTCTGGTGTGGTTTGCTTCTTCTTTCCTATCAAATATCTATCGCATTTATCTCCCCTCCTTCTTTTTCGTGTTTGTTTCTCTCTTGTAGCACCTGTAACCTTCGTCACTTATACGACCTTATTGTGTTGCAAGTGCCGTTAAACACTTTCTAGTGGGTGGTTGGCGGGTGCTCTGGTGTGGTTTGCTCCTTCTTTCCTATCAAACATTTATCGTCTTTATCTCCCCTCCTTCTTTTTTATGTTTGTTACCCTCTTGTAACGCCTCTAATCTTCGGCACTTATATGACCTTATTGTGTTGCAAGTGCCGTAAAACTCTTACAAACACAAAAAACACTTTCTAAAACGAAGACAGTATTTTCAGTTTGGGTAGGAATTAAATTTGAATTTTGCACAGGTGGAGGCCGAAGCCCACTCCTATCGAGTTTTGGAATACCAGGGGATCTTAAACTTAAACGTTCTCAACTTGCACACGGGTCTTCCAAGACTTGTTCGCCCTTATCCGAGAAGGCTAGTGTTCGATTTTGCCTACCTTAAGATCATGGTTGTAGCTGATAAACAGCTGAAAGGAGCTAGGAGTAGTAGTAGAAAGTCACGGAGTAAAGGAGAGAGGAGGCTAGAAGAATTCAGGGGTGGAGGAGAAGAAAGTGGAGACGTAAGCAGCAGATAACAGAACAGGACTAGAGAACAGGAAAGGTTGTGAAGAAAGTGAAAAGAGAAATTTTTAGAGAAGAACAATTTTCCCTCGTTTTCAGGTTTCGAACCCTGGACATTTTGAATGAGAGGTGAACACTGTGCCTTTAGACTCT